ATGTTAAGTTGTTAAGACATTATTAACATTTGAACACTGTCTTTGCAATGAATGTGTTTGCTGGGATGTTTTAAAGTTAAGTGAGTGCAATAACAATTTTAAGTGTATTGGAATATAAACATTTCATTTTTCGCGTGCATTACTTTTCTTTTGCAAAAATAACAATTTCAGAAAATAATTAACTATTTTATTAGATAAAATGTTGTCTTTTAAGTAAAATTATTAATTTCTAATACAAATAAGCACATTGCTTCTTAATAAAACTATTATTATCCCACAATATGGTTACTAAGTATAGAATTATAAAATTGAAAACTAAAATCGTTAAACTATTTCTTAGTAACACATTGATGAAAATCTGTAAATCTGTAAAGATAATTGCAAACTTTTATGACAGTATATTTATGTATACTAAAAGATTAAAGAATAAGATCGAAATATTGGAATATTAACAACACATTGATGGAAATCTGTAAACATTATAAAAACGATAATAATTGCCAACTTTTATGACAGTATACATATGTACATATGTATACTAAAATATTAGAGTATCAGATCGAAATATTGGTTCAGGTTCGTACAGATGTTCAAAACGTTTCAGCCTGTCCGTCTTTCTGTCTGTCTGTCTGTCTGTCTAAAATTAAAAGTAAAATAATATGGTGGTGGGAAATTTGTATGCCACTTTCGAAAAAATCGTTATTATTTTATATTATTCAGGCACCACTGTTATCTGTGAACATATATTTCACAAATTATTAGAAGTACTTGTTATACTCGTTCTAGAACTAGTTTTCTTAGAACAAATTCCAAACATTTGCTCAAGGCCATAATTGATATTAGCTGTGTTTTCTTGCCTGTCAAGTTTAAAGGGGTTTAATTAGAATTTGCATTAAAGTGTTCCACACAATTAAAAATGGTATAAGATAAATAAAAAACATTCATTCCTGCCAAATAGAAAAAAATTGTAAAAAAGTATATAGTTGGAACAAATAAATTTGAAGCAAATAATGTTTAAAGTCTTTTTATTTATATTGAAAAATAAATATGTATGTATGGTTGGATGTATGTATGTACTTCAATTTAATTTTAACTTAAATAGAAATTTGCACAAAAAACATCAATACAATTGTTTTTATTCCACACATGACATTTCTACATTAGTAAGAAGCGTTCTGGAATACAGCTGTTAAATAAATAAATATGTATATTTTTTTTTTGTGTTTCTAATAGTTTTATTTATAAAAAAATTAATATATTCATAGAAACAACTGCATATAATACAAAAAATTACTTTCGTTTATAACACATAAAATATTTTTCGTAGATCCACAATATGCATGCATTTAACTATTATGGGTCTTAATTTAAATCTAAGACGATTAAGCTCGACTGACTTTCTATTTAAAGCACGATGGAGTCCAAACTTAACTGAATTTGAAATAAAAGAAAAAAAAATAATCGGCCCAAATTTAACTCTAGCTCCCATACAAGGGACACTTCAGAAAATGGCTTTACGTTCGCAACAGACTTCAAAATTCTAAAACAGTTATGAATTCGGCATAAACATGAACCAAAATAACTACCAAGTTTCATGAGGATTATAGACATTTCCCATCATACAAAAACGTCTCAAAATAGTGGTATTAAGATAAATTCGACAAAAGTGACTAGTCAAAAGAAATAAATCGCTCTTTAAAATGCTAGACAGCTCCTTCTATAACTGATCGAATGTCCTACTAAAGACCATATCCAATAAATCACATTGATGTTCCCATTAATCCCGATATCTAATACAATGTAGTGTAAATCTAAAAAAAATCATTAAACTGTGGAAATAAATGAAAAAAGAATCGATCCATGAAGCCTTACTTTTCTATGGATCGGCTGCTTTGATAGTATATAAAATTCGCCATAGACGGATATAAGGTTATTACTTGTTTCACCCTAGTTTTCAGTTAATAACAAATCATTTTAACAGTTTATCTTAGCTTTTCAAGACGTAAATATATACAATTAACACCGGTCAAATACATTAAACAAATATTTTAAATTTGGAGAATTGAATAAATCATTATTTGAGATGTTATTTAATGTAAAATTAATTTTCTTGTAAATTAGATTGAACTCTCGATTACATTAAATAGATGTATTTATAACTCTTTTTCATAAAAGTAATTTAAAAAAATTATTTGGAAATTAGTAATAGTAAATTGTGCTAATCTAAACAGTTGGTTGACAAATTAAAAATTTATTTTATATTAAAATGTTAGTATTTTTTTTGCTATTTGACTGAAATTTCATGAATATCATTAGTATTTGTCAATAAAGTAGAGGTACATATATTGATTTTTTCATAAGGTGTATACTAATATATATAATGGTTCCTTATTAGAAACTAAGATGATCTAGCAATGTTCATCTATCTGTTGACAACAGGAAAGGTCCTAAAAGATGGAACAAAAAAAATTACCTAAAATGTTCCCTATTGATAATTTTTGTCTGATATTGAAATCAGACAATAGTACATTCTTATATATGTGAGCTGATATAAATGGATTTCAAATGTTTTATACATGTAAACAATTTCATAAAAGTTTCTCATATATAAAAATTTCTGTATATAATTTATATGGGAGGTTTTAAACCTCCCGCCCATTTTCGGCTCACAATTTCACATAGATATTAAAGTTCTTTGTGCTAAATTTTAAGATTATAGCTTTAATAGTTTGCCAGATAAACGAGTTTATGTTAGTACTGCCATTTTTGTCATAAATATTCATATTTACACTTAAGTGGTTAAGACAAAATTTGACAACTCTAACTCTTATATTTTCTCAAATATAATAATTTATTTCTAGTCTAGTGGGAGGTGCCACGCCCACTATAGCTAGGCCATCCATTTTGTCCCCATATGTTCATATGGATGTCAATGCTGTCCATACAAAATTTAAAGGCTCTAGCTATTGCAGTTTTTGAGATATGCGACTTTTAATACTCTTTAGTTTGTGGGCGTGGCACCTCGCCCACTTAAAATTTTGAAATAAAAAGTAGCCTATAGCTCCTTCCACACATGTCAGTAAAATCGGTTCAGCCGTTTAGCACTCTATAGACTTCAAACAAACAAATAAACACACATTCATTTTTATGTATGGGGAATTTCGTGTCCCAATTTAAAAAATCGATGTCTTCTTCAGCTCTATCGGTCAAGAACTGCCGGAGTAAGAGGAGATCAAAGTTGGACATTTTGGTCATACAGGGTTTTATTGAAATGATTGTAACTTTTCAGCTATTGGTCCTAACAAAAATTGGTCCTACTCTTTTGGACTGAGTAATCACAAAGCACTTAAAGGCAATGGTTTAAGCTTTCTTTTGAGCAAAAAAATAGAACAAAAATGTCCATTTTGAAAAAATTGGGGAAAATCAAGTGCTAAATATTGAAAAAAAATTATGCTTGAGTTAAAAAATAATTTTCGAATATATATCCCACTACTCGCATCCCATTATTGGACTATAAAGCCCTTCAAGGAAATTGTATAAGCTTTCTTTGAAGCAAAAAAAAAAACAAAAAGGCCCATTTTGAAAAAAAAAAATTAATTTAAAAAAAAAAGCTTTCTTTGAAGCAAAAGACAAAAAAGGGCCCATTTTGAAAAAAAAAATTAAGAAATTTTTGGAAAGAATGAATAAATAGCTATCTGAACTCCTTTGGACAATTTTTGCTAGGACCAATAGGTGAAAAGTTACATTTGAATAAAAAATCATTTGAATAAAACTCTATATGACCAAAATGTCCAACTTTGACCCCCTCTAAGTCCGGCAGTTCTTGACCGATAAAGCTAAAAATTTGTGTCCGACCTACTATCCAATAGTAATAACCTTGGTGCAAATTTCGTGAAAATCGATTTTTTGAGTTCGATCACTTGACATATATAGAAAAAATTCTTCTCCAAATTTTATGAGGATCTATATTTGGCCCAAACTCCTCATTTAGAAAATTATTTTTTATTTATAAATTGCTTAAATACATCAGAACAACATAAATGTTTTAAATTAAAAATAAATAATTTTTAAAATATACTCATAACTGGTGTAGGGTTATGATATGGTTGGCCATGTCCGACTATATTTTCTTATTTGTTTTTCAATAAGGTTTGTATGTGATATAAATTTTATTTCTATGTTCACTGGATTAAAAAAAATAGATAAACGCTACAGAATTTTAAAAAGGGATTAGACGTCTGTCCGCTTATTTTGTAATAAATAAAGATTTAAATTTAGAAAAATTCCTCGCTGACCAAACATTTTTTTGAAATGGATCTCAAAAATTCCACAATTTTTGGCTGATTACGGGAAAAATAATAATTTTACTTTATTAAAGTTTTACATAGATTTAAATTAAGTTATTAACGAAAATTAATTTATCATAAACTTTATTAAATTTTACCAAAATGGCATTTATTGTTTTTCGAAATATAAATCAAATTTTATTTGAATTTTTCGAAGCCAAAGTATTATTTACAAAGAGAGCACGACAAACAAGTAATTGTGTATTTCAATTAAACTTGTAATCTTTTTATTAGCTTTTACCGAGAAAAGTAACAAACAACAAAAAAAGTGACATTTACATTTATACATTTAGGATATTATTTGCAATACATACTTTATTAAATTCGTTTAGTTTTATATTATAAAAGAAATAAATAAATAAAAAATAAATAAACAAAATGGTCACATAAATAATTACATTATTAAATTATGCCTTTTCTTGTACTTTTATAATTATAAAAGAAATAAATAAATAAAAAATAAATAAACAAAATGCTCACATAAATAATTACATTTTCATGTACCTGCTAAAACAAATGACTTAAGAAACTAACCAACATTAAAGCAAAATTATTTGCCTGATTATAGCCAATAATTGGTACCATCTTGCGAAAAACGCGCACAAATCCACGGCGGACAAAACTATAGAACCAACGAAACATTGAGGTTTTTAGCTATTTAATGCGTTTGCTAATGGTGTCCAGGTAGTTGTAGCCATTGTATGCCTTGCTTGTGCTCCAGTCTTTTGAATAGTAATTGCTGCCAACCTCATGAGGACCATTCCCAGCAGCGCTGTAGTAGGAGCCAGGAAAGCTGCTGCCAACGAACTGGGAATAATCTGAACATGTGCATTATCATCCATAGAAAGGAAATCATTGTAAGAAAAATTAAATCACATAGAAAATATTTACGTCGTTACACAATTTAGTATAGGAACTTACCAGATGGATCGGAATCGTAAACATGTGAATGATGTTGCACTAACTGAGGATGTATCTTACACAAAGTTTTAAATTTCAAATAGTGTATTAGCCAGCCAACACCACCCACTAGTAGAACATTTAGGCCCAGCACTCCCAACAGTAAAGTCACAACAGTCATTTTTAAATGGGCAATTTTCATCAGTATTATTAGTGGCAATATAATCAACCATTTACGTTTTCTTTTCTCATGCAAACCGCGTGATTCTGTGTTAAAAATTGTCATTTACAAAGTTTTAAATCCTTGTTTCTATAAATTCTTTAATTTTGTTCGAAAATTTTACCTGTTTCGCCGGTGGTAATACGTGCTCCACTATCACTTGTCAACATCAATTGTATGCCATGATTTTTTCCAAAAGTTTCGGCTGCACGTTTTAGAAATTTAACAATATGTGTTATTTCATTATCACCTTGAAGAAATAAATGAATAAAATTGGCATTAGAGTTAATGTGGTCATATGTATATAAATAATATTTTAAATTAGTCTTGCGATTTATAAGAAAACTTCACATTTACACTGTGAAGTGTATGCCGACCTTGCATTTTCTTCGTAGGTCAAACAATTCAAAATTTTCGATTTTGTATAAACAAATTTTAAATTTAGTTTAGAGTAAATATCGAAAAATTTAATGAAAACGGAAAAATTTTTAACGCTCGTAAAATACTTTTTCTATGCAATTTTTAAACCGATTTAAACTTTTCAGAAATTGTTTAAAAGTTATAACCCTATAATGTTGTAATCAATTCCCTAAAGACCACAATATATTATAAAATCTTATATCTTCTTTCAAATCTTGAAATGAATTTACAAATATTCTCATTGCGAGAAAAAATATGCGTTTTTACACCCACCATCAAAAAAGATGGGGGGTATATTGATTTTGTCATTCCGTTTGTAACACATCGACCCACAAAAGTATTTATATATTCTATGTCCTTATTAAATTCTAAGACGATCTAGCCATATCTGTCCGTCTGTCTGCCTGTCTGTTGAAAGTACGATAGAGTCCGAACGGAAAGAGTTAGAGACTTGAAATTTTCCAAAAATATTTTTTATAGGTAAGGTTTGTTTGGGTATATCGGCAAAATGGGCAATATCGGTCCACGTTTTCAAATAGCCCCCATACAAATGGTTCCCCGAAAAACAGCTTTAACAGTCATAACTGTTTTAAGAATGCGAGTATAGCGATAAAATTCGACATAAATAAGTTTTATATGAGCCAAATTCTCTCTACCAAATTTTATGAGGATCGGTCAATAATTGACCCTCCATATATGGTCCCCTCCAAAATATTACGTTAACGCCCATTACTGGCTTAAAAATACGAGTCTAGCGCTATCTACCGAATTTTATCGATCCACAATTGACTTCGAAATAATTAAGTTTCTTGCGAGCACAAATCTCTCTACCGAATTTTATGAGAATCGGTCCTTGATTGACCCTACCCCCCATATATGGCCCTCTTCAGAAAATAACTTTAACGCACATTACTGGCTTGAAAATGCGAGTATAGCTATGAAATTCGATATACAGAAGTAAGTTTCTTACAAGCCAAAATCTCTCTTCCGAATTTTATAATTGACCCTAATGCCCATGTACTATGTTCATCTGTTTAAAAGTTGGACCAAAATATTTTGTTTTTAAAAATTAATATTTTGTTAATCCGAAAGGAGGGATATGTCCATATTTGACTTAAGCCCTATTGCAAATATCAACCTAATGTTCACATGGGTTAATGGTGGGTATATAAGATTCGGCATAGTCGAATATGTGTTATATTACTTGTTATTAGTAAAATCTCCACTCTAAAACTTGTGCCCATGAAATAACAAATCTGTTTGATCCTGATAAATACTTTCAAACAAAAATTTTTTTTGACAACAATAATTTGTCCTGATGAATTAATCACTTTTTCAAATGTTGTAGAGTATTGATCTACATATGTATAACAACTGAAGTCCATACATATGTATATGGAACCACCTTCTGTAGTCCGCTTTAATTTCGCTACACATGTTTTGAAATTGGGTTTACATATAATATACGTTATAGCCAAATACAACAGACTTATTTTTTTAATATACAATATAAACGAAAATTGGATATTAGCCTTAATATTATAACTCACATGTTTTAGTTATTTGGATATACATATGTGTACGATTTGGCGCAACCGAATATAACATTCATAGTTATTAATTTTTAAATTAATTTAATATTCATTAAAAAATTTACTTATTTTGTTTTAAGTTTTGTTACTTTAAACCTTTAAATTACTTTTTTAAGTTTTTACAAAGCAATTTCCATTGAAAAACGCAATTACTTCTAAAGCCCTCAATTATGTATTAAAGGATGTCTGGCAAAATTATCCACAATTACTCGTCAACTTTTCACTGCACTAAGCCAATTCAAACTTTATAAAAGCCTTTAGAACATACTACATAGATATAATCTTTTTTTATTTTAAACACTCAAACTCACTAATACCCACCTTCTAAACTGCGTGCATCATTAAAAACAACAATTTCATCGGCCGGCTGTTCCAGTTGTATAAAACGTATTCGCCGCTTATCATCACGTAATTCACGTCCATACTCATTTGGAAAGTAGCCCATGCCATTCGTAGCCAATTTCCAAACAATTTTTGATGCTTTATATTTAATACACGACACCAGACTGCGATATTCAACGCAACGTTTTTGATTACGTGCCACATATTCATCGGTGTGCGTTAGCAAGGAACGACCGGACGAAGGACGTGATTTTTGATTAACCGTATTTGTGGTTTCATTAAATTCCGTCTTGGATGCCAATGATTTGGTAAGAATTTGTACGAATATTGTAAAAGTGATAATGGCAATAAAATTATAAGAATACGAGTTTGAGTATTTATTAAATAGATACGACATAATTTTTTTTTATTTTTATTTTTCTTTTATGTTTTCTTTTTTTCCTATTTTTATATTTCACGGATTACAATGCGTCCGTCTATAAAGATAGATTTTATTATTTTAAGACGTTTGATAACCAGCAAGGAACACAAGTAACAAATGGCATGAAAATTGTTTGATCAACTGCTTTTATTAGAAAAATCTTCACATGATTGTGTGTTAGATGAAATCGTAATAAGATTCATTTCGATAAGAGTTTAGAAAATGTGTGACCAACTACAAAAAGTTTCAGAAATATGTTATTGAAAAATGTTCAACCATATACATTTTACTCATTCTATTATAGAATACATTTTACTCATTCTATTATAGAATTACTTCTGCCTTAAAGTGTTAAAGTGTTGTGATTTGGGTTTCCAAGTTTTTAATGTAGACCTTAGACTCGTTTTATCTCCCGATTTAGAGTTTACTTGTAGGTCAAATTATGAGGAGATATCGAAGTTCTAAACTAATTTCAAGTTCGTATCAGAAAGATAATTAAGTATAGATTTCAAATTGAGGATCGAATGTTTAAACCTTTATTTCTGAATCGTCAAAGATTCTCGGCGCTGGAGTATTTCAGCTGCACATCAAACAAACATACCCAGCAAACTCTTTACTTGTCCGGTAAGTAGGCAAGTACTATTGGAGCAAAGTATAAGAACTTACTTTTTACACAAATGTAAAAATCAATATTTTTTTAAAGAACTTCTAATATCGACTAGGATTAGAACCACTAAGTTATTCCTTATTAAACTTAAGCTCTTCACAATTGGCTACAAATGCTATTCAAAACAAGTAAGAAATTATAGTCGGGCGAGGCCGACCATATAATACCCTATACCAGTTATAATGTGATTTAGTTTTCACAATACAGCATTTATGTGGAATTGTACCTTGACTCAGATATACTTAAGCCATTTGTTGAATAAAATTGTGAACATTTAAGTCATATTGTGAAGGGGACTTTGTATAGGGGCTAGGGTCAAATGAGGCGCTATAATTATAAAATTCATTAGGTTCATCATGGCTAGTATATAATAGGTAAAATAATGGACCGATGTTAACCATTTTCAATAAGCTTCGTCTCTGGTATAATAGAAGATCATGTGCCAAATTTCATTGAATTATCTTCAATATTGCGACCTGTAGTTTGATTACAAGGTTTACATGGACGGACGGACATAGCTAAATCGACTCAGAAAATGATTCTAAACCAATTGGTATACTTTTAGGTGGGTATAGGACCAATATTATTGTGCGTTACAAACATCAGCACAAACCCAATATACCCTCCCCACTAAAGTGGTGCAGGGTATAAAAATTACTTAATGTTATCGACAACGACCATTCATTACCAAGTAATGTATGAAATAACTACATTACTCATTACCAAAATTTGAAAATATTTTACTGGTTAGTTGGTCACATTAATCATGAACATTGTAATGAAGAGACCAGTCAGCTAGCCAGCATACAGCCTAAACACATTATGCAGCGAACAGTAAACAATAATCCAAACATATTCATCCAGCAGCCAACAACATCTCTTTTGTTTTAACTGCATACATTGTTATACTCACAGTTCGTTGGTTGATTGGACATACATACAGCCGGCCAGTCTTCCAGTTTGTCTATTGGTTGTTTGACTAGTTGTTACTCGTACATTTTCATTATCATTTTACTTTTATTATATTGTTCATCTAAAGTGAATTTTCTGGGTCAGTAGTGAGAAAGAAATGATTTTTTTTTTTTCAAAAAAGCGGCATTATATAAATTACTATGCTTTTATTTTCAATAGAGCAATAACAAATAATCGTAGCACATACAAAAACCGTGGACGATAAATAGTTAGAGAACCTAAATCATAAGATACCAACCGACAAATACACAACATTTAATGACATCCATATCACCTTTAAAATACCATGACACTTGCAAAACATCCGTTCCATCTCTTCGATCTATGCAGTTAGTTGTAAATTATTCCTAATAATAATTCCTTTTGATTGTTTTTCAAAACTAAGTAAGTTCACTTTGAACAATGAAACTAAAGAAGTAATGATAGTGTTGATTGATTGGTTGGCCTGCAGTTAATACATCCTAAGAATTATGGTTATTAGACAGCATATACACTGTGTATGTTTATCACAAATGACTGTTCTTGTAGTGAGCAGATTATTGGCTACAGCAAACACTTTATCACCATCAATTATTTTGTTTTTTTTTTCATTTGTTTTTTTATACTTTTGATTATTTGACTAATTTCTAGTTTCCATATCTTTCTCCTCAGTCGTGTGATTACTGTCTTTAATGTCCATCTGTCATATGTGATAATTGCTGATGCTATTGCAGTAATTGCCATTGTGACTGAAAGTGTTTTGTTTTTTATTCCAAGATAACTTTTTTTGTGTCTATAGTCTGTCCATTGTAACATTTAGAACCCATGCGTTTGTTATTATTTCAATGAAAAATTCATATTTTCAACACGTTTTCTTTTAAAGTTAAAGCGAAAGTTTAATCTTTATCTATCTTTTTTTCTCCATCTCTCATTTTACTTATATATTTGTCGCTTTTATTTTTTGAAGGAAATGTGATTTTTTTTAATAGATTTTAATTTGCATTGTTTTAAATTTTTCAAATCATTATGTATGGAAGATTTTGTTAGTTAATTGATTTTTGCAATCATTTATTAAAAATATTTCAATTATTATTTATTATTAAATTGAAAGTTTTGCTACAATTATAAAAAAGAAAATTTAAAATTTTTAAATATATAAGATCACTCTTTTGTATATGAAGATTACAGAGAATATGTTTTTCATTAATGCATTCAGTTTGTTATTGAAAATGGACAGCGGTCAACTACTATATAAGATCCCCTTTGAAAATGACTAACGATCACTTCTCGCTTAAAGCCAACATCACTCATGACGATTGGTTCATAATTGAAACTACTTTCGCATAAGATCCTCTTCTTGTCATTAGGGACAACTCGATTTAAAACAACCAATTAATGTCACTGATATTCCTATTATTAAATCTTTAGATGCCGACCATTAATATTTAGAAATTGAGAAACTTCAAAAAAAATTATAATTATAAATTTTTGGCAAGTTTTAGCCATTATATTTTAACATTTATACATAACATTTTCATAACTGTTTACTTACTAAGTTTTACCCAAAAAATATTTTTGTCGATTCCAGAAAGAAATGAAATATTTGTAAAATTATTGTCGATATTAGGTATTTGAAATTTTCTGAAAAATTGCACAATTTGGAACTTAAGAAAAATATAAATAAAATCTCTTATTTACAAGCCAGTAGTGAGCGTTAAAGTCATTTTCTGAGGGGGCCTTATATAAAGGGTAAGTTATAGGGTGATCGACTCGATTTTTCAACCGGTTTTAAAACCGGTTTTTTCTGCTTTACCAGTATCGATTTTTTCTAAATGTTGATTTTTCGAATATCGAATAACCCGATTTTTTCACTTTTTAAAAACCGGTTTCGAATACTTTTATTTGCTTTGTATTCAAAGATTATTTAAATGAAATTTTGAAGTAAATAATACAGCCCGTTTAAATTTTAAAAATATTCGAGTCCAGGAACTAGGATACATTTTTCTAAAGCACCATTTGTTAAACTTTTTTGATTTTCCTAACTAATTAAAACATTTTATTTGTAAAATTGATAACTGTTTAATAAAATTTTATTAATCTTAAGATTATATTCGAATTACAATAATTAATTTACCGCTGCAATATTATGGAAGTGTTGGAATGCCTATGAAAATTTCCTAAAAGGGCTTTAGAATAAGCTAGGATTACATAGTACCTTATATTTAACAGAAGTGTCCACTTTTTCCTAATTTTTTTTATATTAAAGAAATAATGTAAATCAGACGACTAGATCTAAAGTTATAATCTGTTAAACTGTTAATAATCATTTCGGGCCATGTTTTATTAATCAAATTTAAACATAAACATTAATTTCTTCAAATTAACATATATTTTTTATTTATTATGAAAAACCGGTTAACCGGTTTTTTCTGAATTTGAAAAATATCAACCGGTTTTTTTGAAATGTCAACTATTCGAACTATTCGAAAACCGGTTTTTGAAAAATGTCGAATAATCGATCACCCTAGTAAGTTATGAACCGATCCTTATAAAATTCGGTAGATAGATTTTTGCTCGTAAGAGACTCGTATTTTTAAGCTAGTAATGGGCGTTAGAGTAATTTTTTGGAGGGGACAGGGTCAATTATGGACCGATCCTCATGAAATTTGGTAGAGAGAATTTTGCTGGTATTATTTGTGTCGAATTTCATCGATATGCTCTCATTTGTAAAACATTTATGACTGTTAAAGCTGTTTTTCGGGGGCCAGTTGTATGGGGGCTATACGAAAACGTGAACCGATATTGCCCATTTTCAATACCAAACAAACCTTATCTATAAGAAATATATCTCTAGCTCTTTCCGTTCGGACTCCATTATGCTTTAAACAGACAGACGGACGGACGGACAGACATGGCTAGATCGTCTTAGAATTTAATGTGGGTCTATGATCAATATTTCGATGTGTTAAAAACGTAATGACAAAATCAATATAGGGCCATATTATTTATCTCTTAATTCCAGCTAACACCAAAACAAAAATGTTGTGTTCAGTGGTCTAAAATTTTAGTAGGAAAAATCAACATATAATATACATATCGAACGTTTCTAGAAAACGATTTTGAATGTTTTATAAAATTTTTAAATAACTTTTAAATAAATCAAGTGATTTGAAAAAGGAAACCAGATTTAGATAGAAAAGGTTAATATGTTTTTAAATCTAAATTTTAAGTTTTTTCTTATCAAATATTCCTAAAAAAAAGACTTTTAGTTTTGACTTTAAAAGCAAAAAATCCCTATCACACCGAAAATAGATATAACGAAATGGAAGAATGTCATTATTATTTATTTTTTTATATATTTTACATATTAGAATTAGAAATCCCAAATACTGGGATTTCCCGAATAACATCCCTAATTGTTCTACACTAGTCCTATTACTGATGACCACCCTAAGCTTATCCTTATTTCACTTTATACAAACTGACTTAAAAATGCAATACAATTGTAAAATATGATTAATATCTTCAAGCATTAATATGTATACTTTAATTTATTAAAATATGTATTCATTTAGTATTTTCATTAACAAATATTGAACGTATAAAGTTTATTTATTTGATGTTTATGATGTTCATAATTATAGATGCCAACAAAGTAAATCCACTTGTTGTAATTCCACTTATAACTGGCGAATGAAATGAATTGGAATTCATGAATTGGATTTTTTTTAACAAACTAAAACCGGCACAATTAAATCATTTTGTTTTTTTAAGTTTAGTTTTGTATCAAAACAAATACAAACATTTAATTGTCTCGAAACACTATAATTTTATATGTATTTTCCACATATTACTACGATTGTTCATAACATAACAAGACAGTCTAGTAAAAAATAGTCTGTTTCGTCTGAAATTTATTTAACGAATGTCAATGTTAATTTTAAAAATATCTAAAAGAATAATTTCGCAAAAGTATATATATACATTTTTATTGGGCTTTATTGGGTTTTTATATAAAAATAAAAAAATATTGTAAGATTAAAATTTAAACTTCAACATCAAAAAAAAAGAACAAAAAAAGAAAAACTATAGAACCTGATGATGCAGATGCTCTTACCAAAATGCTATAAAGATATCATTCCTTAAATTCACTGTATTTTTCAATATCAATGCTGGACATTATTTAGCTGTTGTTAATAATTTTCTATCTCGTAGTCACATCTTAAAACAATAATCTAAGAGAGAGAAAAAAAAAACAAAATAAATTTCACTGATTGATTGCATTATTAAAAAAAAAAAGAATATAGTTTGTTACTAATAATAATTTATTTTCGTTTTTTATTCGATTTATAAATTTATTGTTTGTATGTTATTTTTACTACATGGAATTCATATTAAGATTTGTGAAAAATACTTGTGAAACGAATAAAAATGAAATGAATTCGCTTTCTATATTTAATGGAAAATAATTTGCGTAAGAGAAAATCATGTTCAAAGTTTAATAAAAATGCAAATGTATAGAATAAAATATTAAATCAATAAAAAATAAGTGTTACGCATTTTAGAATGTAAGTATTACATGACTAGACACTATATAGAAAGTAATATTTAAATCACAATCCTTAATTGGGTTTTTCGAATGAAGGATATTATAACTTATAATTCTCGCTCAAAGTATGTTTTGTTAATAGTTATTAAGTTTCCTTAGAAAGGGGATGTTAATAGTTATTAAGTTTCCTTAGAAAAAGCAAGTTAATATGTATGTGATCTTAATATAAATAGACTTTTCTTGAAAACTGGAAACTTTTATAAATTTTTTTATACCTGTTATCTCACACAAATAATATATATTTTATGAAAATGTGAAAAATTGAAAACCTTTAGAAATGTTTTAATATTCAATTTTAGAAGAAGAATAATATAAAATAAAGGGAAATAAATATGCAATTAAAAAAAATATTCTATCTATGAAATCTGCTATTCAAGGACTACAAAAAAGCTATAAATTACACAAGCCAACAAAAAGTTAAAAGAGTCGGAACATTGTTAGACTTTTAATTATGTACTTAAAAATGTTAAATTATTTATAAAATAAATTTTTGAGATTTCGAACCGAAAAAAGTTTTGTCTCCATCTACAGATAACGATAATCTAAAAGTTTTTGGGTTAATTTCGAATATTATTTAAATATTAAGCAATTCAAAGCGTCTTGGGAAGTTTAGGAACGACTTCAATATCAAGGTATGTTGAGGAAGAAATAGAATATAGTGTCCAGCAGTACGAATGCCCGTTATTACGAATTTTCAATAATCCGAATGTGAACTACGACAAATATATATAGTATATATAAACTATTGAGGTTGTGTCGACAGATTTTTCAAATTTAACTTTTTGATGTCAATTTAAAAAAAAAAAACTGAAATCGGTTGAAAATGTAAAAGTTATTGAAAGGGCATAAGTTCAAAAACTGTATCTCAAAATATCTTCAAGATATCTTCGTTATTATACTCTACACCACCTTAGTGGGGAGTGGTGTTTGTAACGCACAATAATATTGGTCCTATACCTACCTTAAAGTATACCAATCGGCTTAGAATCATTTTCTGAGTCGATTTAGTTATGTCCGTCCGTCCAGAATTATGTTCAATAAACTCGTATCTCGACAAAAAGCTGCAAAACCTACTAGCCTTCTTGATCCTGATGAATTTTTTGATTAAAGGGCCTCATTTGACCCTCGCCCCTATACAAAGCTCCCTTCGAAATATGACTTAAATGTACACAATTTTATTCAACAAAAAGTGGCTAAAGTATATCTGAGACAACGTACAATTCAACTTAATTGCTTTATTATGAATACTAAATCACATTTTATTTTTATAACTATAACTTCTTACTTGTTTAATATAAATATGTACCTATATTACGAAAATGTTTAAATTCTTTATAGAGTTTTGTACACCAAACCTATTTTTTATCCCTGAAAAATATCTTGTATCATTTTATAAGATACAAGATATGTAAGGGATATCTTACATTGAAATGTAATGAGTTAAAATGCTAATAAAACCTCTTTTCACTTTTTCGTCGTTAGCATTTTAACACGGTGATGACATTGGAGGCAAGTACTTCCACGCTCACTTACAAATAGAGATTTAAAGAAGTACTTACAATTTGGCTTCCAAAAAAGTTGTTGTGTAAGTTGTTTTGTTTTTAATATGTAATAAAAAGAGCCAACGAAAATACCAATCAGGGACTTCGGTAAACGATATTTAGATTTGTTTATATGGAGTTGGACAGTAACTTTGTGGACTTTTGACAAAACCACTTATTTGAAAAAAGCGAATTTTACAAAATAGCAAAACAAACACTTTTAACATGACAAAAAACGTTCCAAATTTCGAAATAAGTTGATTTGATCTAGAATGCATAGACCTACCCCGACTTAACAGAAATATCCGCCTTTATGTTGTTATGTTGAATAAAAAATTTTAGTTTTTTGGGAACTTGGAACTTATGATAATGAACATGAGTCAACTTTTTTCAGGCAACTATTTGAAACATTTATTAAATTTTTTGCGTTGCCAACTTATATGGTTGTTGTCTTTACTATGTTTTTGTATTAGCATCAGTATTGTCACAATAATTTTGAATTTTGTTCAGTGTTACCATATGTCAAGTTTTCCCTTTTGTTTGCAAGTTTTTTTAAATCCAACATAGTTTTTAAGTGTTATTCCAATAAAAATAGGTTTTTGAAAATTTATACAATTTTTAAATTTTTTATTTTATTTATTCAATAAATAAGTTTAAATAAAAAACTCTTTTTACCATTAATTAAATAATATTTTATACCATTAATATGGGAGATATTCCTAAGAACTGTAAACATTCACCGGTACTGATGAACTTTAATATCTTAGATTAGACATTAGGGACGAAATGCACTTTTACGTTATTGTGGCCATTTTGTACATTGGTTCACCATATTAGGCCAAGTTTACGCATAATCGGTGCGAGGAGAAATCTTCGACTTTCTAGTCCCCAATGCTGGGCAGTTACAAATGTTTTTTTTCAGAGATTTCCTCTTGTAGTGCTCAAAATCTACATAGATTCATCATGACATTTCCAAGTATAAATTGATGGTATGTAAGACCACAGTGACCATAATGTAAGACCACAGTGAAAATAATTGCTAAAATAATATAAAAATCCCCAAAAGTAGGGGAAATTATAAAAAATACCCAATACAGAATATTACTTATTAATTAATATTAAGTTATATTAAATACTGATTTATATATGACAATTATTAAAATCCAGTTTTTATTCCAAAATATTTAAAAAATTTAATAACACAGCTGATTACTTATCCGCCGTTGAAAATTTTAGTGCCAACTGCCGCCGTCTTTTATTTTTATCGACGCAGGTCTCCCATGACATCTCAAAAAGTAGTGGTAGAAAAAAATCTAACAAAACTAATTTTTTACATAGTGAACAAAAAAACTTAATTTTTATTAATTATTCGTGAAAAAATTGGATAAAAACAATTTATTAAGTGAAGTTTGCAATATATACCAAAGTTTGGCTATAAAAACATTATCAAATAAGGTAATTTATAACTAAAATTTTGCACAAAAAGTTGTTGAAAATCTTGGTCTACAACAAAATGGAAACTCCCAAAGAAAAATCAAGAAAATGAGAATGTGTAATAAATCTCAATTGTTGCTATTTAATTTATTTAATAAACTTTTTTATTTTTCTTTTTGCTAATTGTACTACAATTTGTGTGTATTTTTAGGGCAACCTACTCTTATCTGAAATTAAGAAAATGTCCCAAGGTGCTGTTACTGCTGGCACACCATCAGCTCTACAAAATGGATTCAACAAAATTTTCATACAACGAGATTATAGTGAAGGTACTGCTGTTAAATTTCATACTAGATTACCCAGTGAATTGGAAGGTTTGGTAAGTGTTTGTATTTCATTTTTTAATATAATACATTCATTTATTTATAATATTGCATGAACAACACTTTTCTTATTGTTTTCGCATTCTAAATAGCTTAGTGGGTCGTAACTAAAAGTTCCGCACTGAACAAGTGTTTTTGTTTTTATTATTTAAATAATAACTTGTTGGCCCCGATCGACATATCCTTGAGGCGTAAATGAAAATATAGAATTCACCACTCTAACTCCAATAGTAAAGTGTTTTAGTAAATTTTAAAGGTTTTTTATATTTAATTTACATTTCATTTATTTGCCCTATCGGAACAGCATATCTTAAGTTTTTTGATTACGAACAAACATTACTTTTTTATTTATATATAAAGATAGAAGAAGTTATTTCAAGACTCAAAGTCCTAGAAAACTAGTTTGGAGTTTTTTCAGATTAACACATTCGAAATTGTACGGTTGTCGAACCATTCCTTTAAACAATGGTTTTTGTTCGAGTTTATCGAAGCTTCAGGTAAGCTTTAGAAACATATACATACATATGTACAGGTAATCAAAAAAGTCCTTGAAACTCAACAGTTAGGTATATCACAATTGTATTTTTTAAAACAATATCAAACTATCAGAAAAATTTTTATACACAGATTTGTACGCAACATGTTTTCTTTGATTTTTAAAATCATTCATACCATACGTATGTATATTGAAGAACTTTTTTAGAAACTGGATTGATTATACCATAGATATTAAATAATTAGAAATATTCGTTTGCATGCAGTCCTAAGCATTACTTTCAAGTAAATAAGTTATTTCTTAGGCTTGAGTATTAGGGTTTAGTTGTAAAATGAGCATTGTCATTGTATAGATTTTTCGGCTGTAAAATTACAATAAAGTAAAAAGTATTACACCAAATCCCAATTTTTGCTTTTAACCCAAGATTTATTAAGATTTATATACGCAGGGCAATAGAAAGTTCATAATATTCTTTGACTTATCATAAAAAATAATAATAAATGCCTAATAGAAATACAATTTCTACGCAACTAAGGATATTTGATAGGGTATTCAAATTTTTAAACTTTTTTCGATTAATGGCTCGAACAAACAAAAATTGATAATTTTCAAATAACGAATAAACCGAAATACATATTTCTATAAATTAACCGATTAATAAAATCTTACTACTTAACTGTGTTTCTTAAGTATTTCTAATGAGTTCTTTGGCAATACTTCATTGGAACGTATGAATTCTCTATATAGAAAAAAAATTATTTCTCATGAAAAGAAATAATTTCTAATATGTATTCAAAAATCAGTTTCATTTTATTCAACTAACATAAAACCTCAAATAATTATATGTCGAATTAACCGAGTAATACAAAACCACAAATAATTGAATTGCCTAGTTTCTGATCAGGTTTTAAAAGGTTTTAATTATCTTCATTTGAAAATTTGCTTTTTTTAATTTTTATACAAGCAGGTAGTTAGGTAGTTTGAAGAGGACATATACCAAACCCGAAGAAATACATCTAAGACCCCATTGGGCCTATTATGCGCTGTTTTATCAGTGTCTCTGGTGGAAATTACATTACATTCAATCTGACAGACTAGGACACTAACATCTAACCTACATCAGACATACTTATGTATGTATATACATATAAGCAAACATGAAAGAAGTCGTTTAAAAGGGACAAAACACGTCCGAAAATGTCTGGGCATATTAAAATGTATATACGGATTTATTTGCAGTTGTTAGCTTTAATTAAAATAGCCACGTATTTTTTAATTTTCCTTTAATTTATGAATTATGATTACTAATTAATAACTCATTTTCCCAGTACTCACTCGCTTTACATTGTAATTTTAATTTTCTAGTCGCATTTTCAAATTCATATAATGACCAATCAAGAATGCTTTAAAAAAAATAATTTTAATTTTCCTTTAATACATTAATTACTATTTCTGTCATTTATCACTCATTTTCACCTGCACACACTCGCTTTACATCGCACCCATGCAAAACTCTTTTTTTGTACCGTTAAAATAAAATTGACTTAAAAAAACACATTAATTACAGATTGAACGACATGTCTTTGAGTCTACAATAAATAGACTAAATGAATTTTTTGCGGAGGCCGAAAAAGGTTCATGCAGTACCTATTGCGAGGGCTGTATTGGTTGTATCACGGCATATTTGGTTTATATGTGCTCGGAAACGCACTATGAAAAAGTAAGATAACGAAACAATTTAAAAAATTAACTTAAAATAATTTAAATAATATACCTTTTAGACTCTGCGTAAAATATCTAAATATATAGCTTCCCAAAATGAACGCATTTATCATCCAAAAGGTTTACAAATTATTGATCCTACCTATCGTGGTTTACGTGTTATAGAAATAACAATTTTAGATCGTCCCGGACGAACGTGACTTCCGCTTTCACACTCAACCGAAGAGTTTTTTATGTAATACTTAAACAAAACGAAATAGTTAAACAATGGATCTTTATTTTCAACTAAGTTTAATTTAAAGGTGTTATTTTAAATATTTTCTTAAGAAATATTTCTTTGTTTGTTTAGTTATCAGGTAATTTTGAATTTTTTCATTTATAATTCAGCTGAATTTTAATATGGTTTGTTTTCTTTTTAAAGTTAGGTATTTCATTTAGAATTTCTTTAATATTTTCCTTATCTAGTAAATTATGAAAATTTTTGTCTATTAAATTGTATTGTCTTGAACTTCATAATTTTATCGTACTAGAACAAAGTTAATCATTTTATTCTTCTCCAGTACTTGCCAGGATTTTCAGTAAATCATTTAAGTATTCATTCTAACAAATCCTGTAAATCTGGCTAGTACTTAAGCAAACCAATTGCAAACAAAAAGTTTGATAGAAAAATTAAGTTTTAAATGAAACAGCAAAGAATAAAAAGAAAATATTTTGAAGCATGCAACTTTTATCATTAAAATAAAAATAAAATTAACAAATGACAAAGTCAACTTTTTAAGAAAACTTTAAAATAATCACATAATAATTAAAATCCCTTGAAATAAAAAATCCATTTGAAATATTGATAAAAAAAAATCCTTATTTTCATAGAAATGTAAGTTTAAATTTAAGCTTTTTGGTAAAACCTATAAATAAATATGCATTTTTTCATCCCAAAAATAAATATGTACACCTAAAAAAGTTAAAATAAATCTATAGTTGTATTAGTTTAATAATTAATTTATTAGTTCATATTACAAATTATATGTATGTAAAACTTAACACAATAACATTCATTTCCTTAAAATAAACATCGCAGTGAAATAATTGTAAAAACAATACAACGTGCTAAATAAAAACATCATCAACAACATCATCTCAATAAAATATATTTATTCATTTTTTGTATTAATTTCTTCTAAATTTAACAAACAACAATATAAAATATTGTAATAGTAATGATAATCTAGATGTTATAAGCTCTAAACAAATTACATTAGAATTGTCTATAAAAAAACTATAGAAAACTATATTCAAAGGTTTTACCAAAAAAAGTCATAAAGCTGGTAAAATATTTTGGGTAATAGTGAATTATGTGTAATAACCGAAATATAAAAAGTTTGTGAAATGATTTAAAAACTAAAATAGTATTAAATAAGAACTTATTACAAATCGTAAACATAAACAGAAAACCAACCATAGTCAGTAGAATGAATGAATAAAATATTTATTAAACAATTAATGTGTTATATAAAAGAGTTTTGAATTACAATAGATTTTATGCGTTGACAATCTTAAGTCAATCTATTTTTTGCAATTTTTTCATAGTACATCCTATAGAGATGTAAAGGTGAGTTATAGATTATTTAAGATTTTAAACTTGCTATTTTAATTAGGAAAATTAAAAATTAAGTAAACTGTAAGCGTTAATTATTCCTGCAAATAAATCTGTAAAGAACTGTTAGTCCGAAGATCTTGAGTGTTTACTATTGCTCTAAAATTTCCAATTTCTTTTAAATATTTTGTTTAAAATATTTTTTATATAATCCCTGTCGAATTTTCCGTTAACTGAAAACTAACTTATGGTTAACCACAAATAAGACCCAATTCTGTTTATCAATGCAATGTCATAGGAACGAGTCAGTACTCACTTTGCTTCAGTTTCAGCTAAACAGAAGTTACCTAATAGTGAGTTAGATTCTGGCGCATAAATTAAAGAGCAGCTATGAGTTAGTTCAGTAATTTTCTTATATTTTTATATAATATTTTTTAGAAATTTATTATTAAACGCTTATACATTAGTTGTGAAGCATATGCTGCAACATTTCCTATGTATGTATTATTATCATACATACATATATTTTCATAAACATTTCAGTTTTCATCATTAACAACAAATTTTGTTTCGATGATTATATTATGTTTGTTCACATACTTGTTTGGATTGCAACTTGCAAGTTTTTACAATAAGTCGTTCCCGTACTAAAAATTTCAATTTATTTTTTTTTTAAAGTGGCTTTATATGGGGGCTAGGGGTAAATATTAGTGTTTTTCTTTTCCCGGACTATTACATTTCCCGGGAAAACGGGATTCATTTTGAAATTTCCCGGGATCCCGGGAATTCCCGGCTAGAAGTTATTAAAAAATTTGAAGAATATAGCAGCTATTTAAATACAATTTCGTATTATTTTTAAGATATTTATAGTTTGATGGCAATCAAAATTAAATAAAAAGAGGTTAAGGGACACGATTTTTTTGTTATATACACGTCTGAAACATTTCTATATGAATGGTTTTTATTCCCTACACTGTAGTGTGAATTGTATTTGCTGATAAAGTTTGCCGTAAAGTATACCAATCAGCCCCGTCTATATAAACCACGTAGCAAAAAAAGTGTGAAAAAAGATATAGTATTTTCATCACAACTAGTAACCTGAAGTGCTTCAAATTCGGGTGAAAAACCTATGAACTTTACATTAGCGTATTATTGGAGGGATGTTGTTATTTCTAGAAGCAGTAAACATTCGATATTTGGATGTCAGAAATAAACCACATTCTTTCAATGACACGCTTATGTAAATTTCATTGGTTTTTCACCAAAATTTGATGTACATACTTCGAATATGTTATTTGTAGTGACTTCTCTTTCGTCACTTTTAACTGGGTTTTCATTTGTAAGGAAATATTTGGTTTTTAATCGCATTTTTAGATGTGATTAAGATGTCAATTATTTTTTTGCTGGGCATGCAATTAAACTACAGATGCCAATTTTGAAGATCATTTGATGAAATTTTGCAAATACTCCTTTTTACCCCAAAGACTAACCACATTTAAATTGGTTGATATGAATCTACCTACACCCAAATAACCGAACATACAAATTTGTTCTTTTTAGCTCATAATTTTATCAAAATATACCTCACACAATAACGGCAAATTCCAAAAAATAATAATATATTAGTAATTTGTTTTCTAGCTTTTAGCACCTTTTAATAATATATCTTTTCTGAATTTAACATTTCAAATCAATAAAACATTGCAAATCAAAATCAATCAAAATCAATTTATTGCAAACAACATTTTTTGTCAAAAATATCACTTAAAACTAAAGAAAATAAGTCCCGGGAATTTACGTGAAAAACACTAGTAAATATAGACCAAGCCCGATAACATTTTGTGAATAGATTTATATAATATTTATTTGTCCAAAATTCATTTATAATTGGTGATTATAAGTGAATTTTAGATATTCATGCCATTTTCTGAAGGGTTGTTAGGGTATGGGAGCTAGGGTCAAATGAGGCCCGATCTTTATGAAATTTGGCAAGGTCATTAAGGCTTGTATAAAACTTAGTTTTGCCGCTTTTTATCGATATACAGGTATATTTAACAATTATGAGCTCAAAAGCCATTTTCGGGGGTACTGTTGTATGGGGGCTAGATAAAATAGGATTCGTCCTTGGGCCAAATTTAATCCAATTATCTTGAAAATTGCGACCTGTACCTTGCGAACAAGGTTTACATGGACATACATACAGTAACATACAGACGGACATGGCTTAATCGACTCAGAAAACGATTCTAAGCCGATTAGTATACTTTAAGGTGGATATAGGACGAATATCTTTGTGTATTACAAACATCAGAACCAACCCAATATATCGTCCCCACTAAAGTGGTGTAGGGTATAATAATAGAGTAGATACAAAATGTATTGATACTTACTAAAAATAAGGATGGAAAATTGAAAGTCGTATGATCTTTTAAAATTGTTTTAAAAATTTCAAAACGATTGGATTTTTGAATTTACCCCACAGAAAATTTTCAGAGTACTCGGAATTGTAACCAATGTTGTGTGTCTTACTTTGTGTTACTTATAATTTGATTTACTTGTATATAAAATCTGGATATGAAGTTTCAATTTTTAATAATTTTTTTTTTGCATTACATCTTAATATACTTGTGATTAACATTGTATATGAGAACAGAAAATTAAAATATAAAAAATCAAGTGTGCTGTAATTTAATCAACAAAAAATTTTTCATTTATTGAAAAATATTTTTTGGATCAACATTTTTTCAATGTTTAGATGAATTTTAAGCAAAATTTATTGCTTAAAATTAGGATCATGATCTAGCGATAATTGGAATGGCCTTATACTTATGAATGAATTTGTAGATACATGTATTTGGGTAGCATTTTTTAAAAAATATACATTTTTAGATACTTCTTAATACACATGTATTTAACCTAGAAAATTGTTGTAGATACTTTTTGATACACTTGTGTTCCAGCTAAAAAGGTTCTGTAGAAACAATTTTACTTACTAGGTATATCGGTAAGAATGTAGGAATAGCTACTTTTCCACACACAAGTATTTTATAAAAAAAGTATAATCTACACACAATATCGCAAACCAAGTATATCAGTTAGTGTGTCATTTTCAAGCGGTCATACCCTGTGTAAAGTAAGCCAGAATGTGTGTAAGTTTGTAAGCACTTTCGAATACAAAATAAGCAACACAATATCAATGTAGTAAGCTATAAATTTTCTGTGGGGTAAGTTTCATTTTATGATAGTGCACAGTGGGGCAGAATGGAAATTTTTTGGAAATAAATCTGGCATTTCTAAACGGCTGATCCGATCGGGATAAAATTTGGCGTGAGCGTAGCCAAGGAGTATTCGAGTTTAAGTTTTGAAGATGAACCCTGCAGATTCCCCAGGGACGGCGCTGTGGCGGCTCAAAGTAGGGTACCTACGACATGTAAAATTTTTAAACTCGTGCCATTTTTTTGTTTTTCACCCAAATACAAAGATTTTTATATTTTGTGAAAGCGCTCGACGAGATCTTGAAAAAAGATGCTTGGACATACTACTTATCTCTTATAATATCCGAGTTATAGGCATTTAAAAATTTAGTGATACAAAATTTACCATACCTTGGTCCGCCTTTTTTTGAATACCGGGCGTAATTTTGGACCAAATGGAGTCAATTCTTGTTAGTTAGACAACAAAATTTCCAATAATATACAAAAAATTTCAGATCAATATCATTTACAGATCCAAAAATATACGTTTTTTAATTTAAAAATTCAAAAAATTTTAGATTTTTGCCGTTTTTTTTCTAAAAATGTGTCTTAACTCTTTTATTAATAAAATAAAATTTTCTTTAAGAACATATAACAATTTTATAGTTTTCTAAAAGGTATTTTTACGCAGAACGCTTTGGAGTAAAAAACTTGTCCTATTTTTTGAAAATGTTGCCACTGCGTCCTTCCGAATATGACCTATTTTTTATCAAAACTTCAACTTTGGGCGACATGTTCTAAAATCCCAAAGCTGGGATCAGAAAACTGAAAGCAGTTTTGGAAACCTCAATATGTTTTCTATTTACTCCAAAAGTATTTTCCCAGCCCTGAAAGAAATGTGGACCCTATGGGCAAAAAAGTAAAAAATCCCATTTTTGGGATTTTCATTCCTATTTTTGGGAATTGCGGGATGCCCTTTGACCTTTTCAATTTTTTTTTGCATTTTCTTATTTGAAATAACAAATTTAACAAGCGTTGAAAATTTCATTGAGGTTTGTTCATAAATAAAGATTTTGTCATATATTACATATTTGTTTAATTTCTAAAACTAGGATTTATATCAAAATTTTAATAGGGTCGCAGATAGCTACAACAATTTAGTCCATATTTATCCCTTAATATCATTTTTTAGTTAGATATGGAAATTCTCGACCCTTTACAAAAAATTTCAAGCCAATATCTCAAATACATTCAAAAATATGTTCATTTAAACCTGTGTCCTTTAATTTCATCTTTTTCATATTTTAGTATTAAGTATGACAGAACATACATTTGGTGTTGAATAAAATATTTGGACAATTTTTAAAAATTATTTAGTTAATTATTTTATTAAAGACTATAACATTGTATATACAATAAAAAAATTATAATTTTATTATGAGCCACGCACAACAACACCTAAATCACCCCACACAAACCACCTTTCCCGCCCACCGAAACATAAAACACAATTTAATACAATATCATCAGTTAGTATAATAGCTATTTTTATTTGAACTGTTTATCTTAAACATAATACAATTAATTCTTACAACCTACTTATATAGTTAATTCCTAACACTACTTATTTTCTATAAAATAATCTGTCATATCGGTATACATATCCAGAAGGTAATATAAGTCCTTTAAATCTTCCTTGTTTTGAGATGATAGAGTTTCA